ATATTTATTACATTAATGTAGGTGTATATTAGAAAAAATGATAGTAAAATTTATTATTTCAACTATATTAGCTAATTTTTTTTAATCAATGTGGAAAAAGAAATAGGAATATCTTTATGGGATGGAGGGAGTAGCATAAAATTTGATTCAACGACTACTTCATTTCTAAATTCTATCCAATAGCGTGTAAAATTAGAATATTCGGACCTAAGGAAGAAAATGACTTGCACATCTACTAAGTTACATCACTATAATATAAAAGATGCTAACTTTGGGCGATGTTCTTGCTCAACACATGGCACGATTTTTTATTGTCAACATGATTTTTATTTATTATTCTTTTTTTAACCAATACCTGTGCCGTATCTCTCCCGTCTTTGGCGTTCAAAATGTTGTAACTTAAAAAATAAGTTTTAATCTTTCAAGAATTAAAACCATTTAAGTTTTAGGTTTTGATTTAATTTTCAATTTAACTTAATTAAAAACATTATAATTCTTTTTTTTAACTCATAATTTTGGATTAATAATAGGTGGGTTTTGACATTTTCTAAAATTCTCTTCTAATTTTGCACTCCATAAAATAATTATTTCAACCATATATTTTGTTCAAAATTAACTTGTAAATAAAAATATAATAATTTAAAATTTATTTATAAGAAAAAAATTTACTTTATAACTAATATATTTACTTGCTAGTAAATAATTATTTATAAGATAAAAGTTCACTTTTGTATTTAAAAAATTGCTCACAAAGTAAAAACAATATTAACAAGACAAAAATTCACTTATGAAAACTATCAAAATTACTTATAGTAAAAAAATCACTTATGTAAAAAAGTTAATTAAAAATATAAAATTAACTTATAACTGTAAATTTACTAATTAAGTAAAACATTAATTAAAATTTTAAAAACTTATTTATAAGCAAATACTTCGATTTTTAAGTTAGAAGGTAATTTTTATGTAAAGAATTACTTATAAGTAAAATATCACTTATGAATAAAAAAATTCATACAAAGAACTATAAAATTAACAATTAAAAATTTCACTAAGGGGCTTATATGTAATTTTATTTTATTCTTAATTCTTTCAGAACGCTAGATAATACACTCTCAAACATGATTGGACTTTTTTAAAAATCACTACTAAAAATAACTTAAAATCGAACCATCATAAATGCCCGAAATGATGTCGTAAAATCCCATAACAGTTACAACAAAACTCCCAATTAGAATTAGGATCTATTTCTTTCACTGCCCTTTTGGGTGACACGATTATGAGAAAATTGTTGTTTAATTTTGTTGTATTTTCCAACCAACCAAATCGATGAATTTTGGACATCTTTCAAATTCTCTCCCTATTTACCATCTAGAAAATAATTATTTTCAACCTACATATTTTGGTCTAAACTAACTTACAAATAAAATTACAATAATAAAAAGTTATTTACAAGCAAAAAAATTACTTTATAACTAAAATTTTTACTTATGAGTAAAATAAATATTTACAAGATAAAAATTCATTTTTTTGTTAAAAAAATGCTTCTAAGATAAAATTACTACGATTAAGATAAAAATTAACTTATAAAGTATAAATGTTTAATTGTAAGAAAAAGATTTACTTATGAGTAAAAAATTATTTAAAATTGCAAAATTAATTTATAACTATAAAATTTACTTATATTTGAAAACTACATATAACATAAAATATAATTATAAATAAATATTTCACTTTTTAAGTTGGAAGCTAACATATATGGTTAAAACTCCCAAAGTGGTTGAATTATTAAAACCACTACTCCAAATTCGACCTTCGTAAATGCCCAAAATGATAACTTAAAATACCCCATAATTGTTACTACAAAACTCCCAACTAGGCTTGAGAGTTTCTTCAAATGGTTTTGATCGATTTTGGGTGCCACCATTTATTAAAGATTGGGAAAAGCGATGGTAGTATAATGTTGACCATATTTTTCAACCTATCAAATCAGTGTGTTTTGGTTGGTTCTCAAATTCTCTTTAAATTTTACCCCCTATAAAATAATTAGTTTCAATTCACATATTTTATTCAAAATTAACTTGTAAAATAATTTTAAAAATTAGTTATAAGAAAAGAAATTACTTTATAAGTAAAAAATTACTCAGTAAAAATTTACTTTTGAACAAAAGATAATTATAAAGTAAAAATGCTATTATTAATACAAAAATTTATTTATAAAATATTAAAAGTTACTGATAAGTAAATAATTCACTTATGTGTAAAAATATTTAAAATTAAAAAATTAACTTACAACTTTAAAATTTACTTATAAGTAAGAAATTATTTATAACTTAAAATTTTAATTAAAGTAAATATTTTTAATTTTAATGAACATAAACTTAAATAAATTACTTACAGTAAAACATCACCCGTGAACAAAAAAACCACACAAATAAAAAATTAAATTTTTTTGAACTACTGTACAATAAACTGTCCGATTGGATTTTTTTGAAAACCACTATTAAAAACTACTTTAAACAACTCATAAACGGCTAAAATGATACCATAAAAAAACTTGAGAACTGGTACCACAAAACTCCTAAGGAAGCTTGTGAGTTTTTCTTTCACTAATTTTGATCTTTTGGACGACACGGTTTACGAAAGGTTGGAAAAAATGAAGCACATAAATTGATGGGTAGGCCCAATATATCAGTAATCACAATCATACCCAGAAAAATAAAGGTCGAAAAGATTGAAAAAATTGACCATTTACAACCATTAATGAAGGATTTCTCTTGTTTGTTTTTTGGAGTATTGATTTTGAGTGCCCTTCATATTTATTTGCATTTCCTACTACAAGACTATTTCGCTTTTACCCTGCTAACTAACTAACTATTGAACCTTCTAGACTAACAAATGATGAGGTGGTAACTATGTGAACCGGATTGGAATCCATCAGCATCATCCTTGAAAAATGAGATTTTGCCTTTATAATAGACTATCACCTCTATTTGAAAGCTCCATCCCTGCAAATGGGTACAAGAGAGTATCACCTCCGTTTAAGAGCCTCATCCTTGCAAATTGATTTTCGCCTCTGCAAGAGATTAACACCTCTGCTTGAGAGCCTCATCCCTGTAAAATGGGACTTTACCTCTATAAGAGAGTATCACCTCTGCTTGAGAACCCCATTTTGACACAGACCAATGTTTTGAAATTCATCATCTTGACTTTTAGATCTGATCATACGAAATTCTACAAGTGTACGGTATCATGAACAAGTTATAAATTATCATTCCTATGAAGATTATGTACTTAATCTAGGATCAATTTATTCTAACTCTAATCGAATAGCCAATTTTATATTAAGAGTTTATAATGATCTATCTAATTAAATTAATTATTTTATTGAGCAAATTATGAAAGCTTTTGTAAATCCATGTGACATGACTTCTGACAATTTGAATCCCATTATTAATTCCTTTCAATACAACTTAATATCAAGACAATATGTATGCATTCTTGTTGATCTATGTTCCTATGTTATTCAAAAATATATCTCGAGTAGAATTAAATTTATCTTTGCATATATCCTTCATATATCTTTATGAAAGATGCAAACATGAACGAATGCATTAAAATACCAGAAGATGAATCTTACCCCTCTCACGGCTTTTCGTAGCGTTCCTTGGATTCGAACATATAACTTTCCCTTAAGTGACCCTTAAGAGAGACTTGAGTTGAAACGAGAGATACAACCTATATATGGCTGTGGTGGCTTTATAGTAGATTATCTCATTGCCTTCTAACGGGATGTTCAGTGTGTAGGTGATGCCCACGTGAAGGGGACGTAGCCGAGATTTTGTTGGCGCATTTTTTGATGTCAACAAATACTGAAGAGTTCCTCAATTATGATGAAACAGTAGATGACACAAACAATTACTATTAAGAGGAGTTTCTCAACACATTTACGCCTAATGGAGTTCAACTTCATCGATAATTTTCTTCAGGAATCTAGATCCTTCAAATAGTCTCTACGATGAAAGCAGAATGGTTTGTCGTTAA